CAGCATTTCTGAACGGTCCATTACAGGAAGAAGTTTATGTGTCATAACCTCCTGGATTTGTGAAAAAGAATCAGGAAGGGATGGTATACAGGTTAAATAAGGCTCTGTATGGACTGAAGCAAGCGCCTAGAGCTTGGAATCTAAAAATTTATTCATTTTTCAAGAAGCAGAGGTTTCAGAAGTGTTAGATGGAATATGGAGTTTATGTACAACACTCTGATAGCAATATGATTCTGGTGTGTCTCTATGTTGATGACATCTTGCTAACAGGTAGCTGCCCAGAAGATATAAAGAAGTTCAAGGAAGTTCTGATGAATGAGTTCGAGATGACAGATCTAGGAAAAATGACATATTTCCTAGGAATGGAGATTATGTACTCGAAGAAGGGTATCATTCTGCACCAGTTAAAATATGAACAAGAACTTCTGAAGAGATTTAAGCTGCAGAACTGCAAAGTTGCTGTGACACCATCAGAAACCAATCAAAAATTGGATTCTGACTCTGATGGTGATTCTGTTGATTCTACAACCTTCAAACAGTTGGTTGGCTCTCTAAGGTATTTATGTAATACTAGACCTGACATTTGTTATGCAGTTGGATTGGTCAGCAGATTCATGAGTAATCCCAAGTGGTCTCATTTCCAAGATGCTGTCAGAATTCTGAGATATATTAAGGGAACTCTGAGATATGGAGTGTTGTTTCCTTCTGAAAGAAAGACAAAGTCAGAGTTAGTAAGTTATTCTGATTCTGACTGGTGCGGAGACAGAGTGGACAGGAGAAGTACCTCTGGATACTTGTTTAAATTTCTGGGAGGTCCCATTTCCTAGAGTTCCAAGAAACAGTCTGTTGTAACTCTGTCAACATGTGAAGCTGAGTATATCGCAGGTGCTGTAGCTGCTTGTCAAGCAGTCTGGCTTCTAAATCTCCTGCATGATTTAAAGGTTGAGGTTGAGGAACCTATGAAGCTGATGATTGATAATAAGTCTGCAATTGATCTTGCCAAGAATCCAGTGCTACATGGAAGAAGCAAGCACATTGAGACGAAGTATCACTTTCTCAGAAATCAAGTTCAGAAAGGAGTGTTAGAAGTTCTGCACTGTAGCACTCAGAAATAGCTTGCAGATCTTCTGACGAAGGCAGTTAAAACAGATCAATTTCTTTGCTTAAGAGATGAAATTGGTGTTGTTAGCTTCTGATAGATTATCTAAATTAAGGGATGGTATTGGAAATGTAATTTATTTAATGTCCACAATTCCCAATACTTACTCTTTATTAGGGCCTTTTGGCATTTTCTATTTCTAGTATAAATATGCTACCTAGGCTATCAATATTGTATCCCAAATTCATTCCTCTATTTGAATATAAGAAGTAGTTCTCTTTGTTATCATTCATTGTTCATTCTTTATCTCTCCTTCCATTACCTTGCACCAACACATATATCCCGTAGTAAGGGAAAACCCGTGCCCTTTATTTGGATTAAATAGAGGAGATTGAGGAGGGGAAAGATAGTCAAAATCTTAAATTGAAGGTTGGTTTCTTAGCTCGTTTGATTTGTTTGGGCTTTAAGAGACTTTGGGTTTAGAATACCCACCTCCTCCCTATTTGGCTTCACACTTCCTTTGCTACAAACATCATTTATCAAGCAATTTGATTAGATTTAATAATCCAAATGGAATAGGAAAATAAGCATTTAGTAGAGAAATGATCATAGTTTTTTCGAGTTTATTTTTATACCAAGTGTTTTATATTAAAACCTTAGAAACCTATTAGGATAAATTTATTCCCCTTTTGACAAGATATTGAGTAAAACATTAGATATATTTATTTCTTCATCTTTCTAAAACGTTTTATACAAGAGTTGGTCTTGAAGAAACTTTTTCTACTTGATTTGATATCTTCTTGGGATTTATCAAAACTTCTTGATGAACTTCTTTCAAGTGATTCCTAAAACACTGGATCAAATTTCTTAGAGGAAACTTGGAACTCATGCTCTGCACAACTTTTATTGTTTTGCATTTTGATCCTTGAAGTTGCAAAGCATCTCTGTAAAAATTGTAAAAATAATCACGTTAATATCTTTGATACCTAAATCTTTTTAGGTCATTTAGGGTTATTAGATTTAAGATGTTTTGAGTCATTCCCTTTAGACCATCTTAAATCATGCATTTTAGTAAAAAAGATGACCATGCTTATGAAAGATTTATTAGAGTGATAACCTAGATCAATTTTATTGTAAGAAGTCCTTTTATTTAATTAAATCAACTCTAGATTTTCTTTACCTTTTTAAAACTTTCTTAAGGTCTCATGTAACTTTCATTTACATTTTCAAAGAATCACAAGTTTCACAATTACTTTATTTTAGAGATTATCTTCTAAGATCATCAAATTCAATACAAATGGTTTGATTATTATCATGAAGATATTCAATATGATAATTAAAAACTGAGATGCTTCTTTCTAACTTTTTCATTTTCTTTATTAAGCTTAACACTTGAGAAAACATGTGTTTGTAACTCATTGTCTTCCTCTTTGTAAGTAGCTTTAAAGCAGACATGTTCCTCTTCATCTAATTCTTTGGTTGGTCTTCTAGTAAATGTTTTATTTGAATTTTTTTGATGAATTTTTAGGTAAAATTTTGAACGGATCTTCGCACATATCTTTAGACGTTTCACCAATTAATTTTTTAGATATTGTCTTAACTTCTTCATATGATGCTATAAAACTTTGGTGTGTTGGCATGGACTCTTGATATACTGATTTTTCATTTTTTTTAATGATGACTGTCTAGAAGATCCTTCATATATATTGAATATTCTTTCATATGATATTTCTGGTAATGATATTTCAAAAGCTTCTTCGGAGTATGAGGATTTTTCGAATGTATCCTAGTGTCTTTCACATTCTTAAAGTTGAATTAGTTCTCTAAGCTTCATAATGATATCCTTTTTATTTAATCTTTCCTAAAACTCAACAAAAACTTTTTTATTATCGAAGTCAAGTATTGAATCAGGTTTCTGATACGAGTTCTTGAATCTTAGATATTCATTAGTAGCGAAACTTTTAAGATTAAATCTAATATTTGAGGACCATCAATTACTAGTATTCGGTATCTCATTTTCTTGAATACATATGTATACGCTTTCTCTCTCAGTTGGAACCTCATGAATTTCTTTAAGGGTGTTTCATACTTCTTTCGTCGTGCTACAATTAGAAGTATGAAAGAAATCTCTTATACTTAGCGTGAAATCCAAATTGCACTTTTCTTTTTACTTCAGTGATCCACAAATAATTCAATTTATACTACTTTATTATAGTAAAATGAATCGAGACAAAAAGACTATAAAAAAATCACAAAAAACATTTATATTCTCTCTTTCTATGTATCAAACATCTCACCATCCAAAAGTGAAGGCACATTCATGTAAAATATTAAGTTAAAAGAAGAAATATTTAAAGTTATTATACTATTTCCTAAGATGATTAGTCTTATAATAGAAGTTACGTTTTGATGCCACTTGTTAGTCAAGTAACTCCAAACAAAAGAGGTGAGGGATAAATTGTGTTCATTAAAAAATCAAAACCAATTTATAAATTTTTTAATTAAAACTATCATTTTGATCTTGATAAACATAAAGACGTAAGGTAGCATAATGAAAGAAGATGAAAGAAAGAAAATAAAAGAAAGAAGAGATATAGAGAGTACACTACATATTTATATAGATCCGATCTCAATACTGACCTACTCATATTTTACAAGAATTTCTTCTTGAGAGTTCATATCCAATTAAATCTACTTACTCAGAGAAAGCATTTTTCATGTACTTCCATTATTTTTACAAGATATTAAAAAAATTATAAAAAATAGTACTGCTTTTCGACTTTTTGATTACTAATATTTTCAAACCTATTTTTTTCTTGATAACTTGAGATTTTAATATTTACTTTTGATGGTTAAATATGTTTTTGTCCTTATAAATATCTCAAATTTCATTTTTAGTACCTATTACAAAAATGATAAATATTGGTCCCTAAAATATTTTTAATCATGCACTTTTAGTTCCTATTATTTTCTAAAATTTTAAAAACGGTTTAGTTATCTTTAAAATTTTAAATTTTTGAATAATTTTTTTTATATGTGTTTAGAATACTATAAAATGTTTCTTTATCAAATTTTAGAATTTTTAAAATGAAAAGAATTAAATATTAATTTTTAAAATTTTAAAAGTTATTTATAAAAGCAATAAAAATCTCGACTTAGAAATCAAATTCTGAATTCTTTTTTTTCGAGAAACTTTTTATAACGTTCTAAACATTTCTACAAAATAATCATTTAAAAATACACATTAACTTAATAACAGAGATTAAAATTACGTGTATAATAATTTTATAAAGACTAAAACACATCATGTTTTTTATAGAAACTAAAAATAAGATTTGATAATTTATAGGGAGAATAACATATTTAATCCTACTTTTAATATTTGCTTACAACCATGAAGAAAATAAAAGGACATTAGAATATGCCTGCATAATACAACATACTTTTAAGAATGCACGAAATGCAACATTTTGTTTAATTATTTATTAATTTAGGGACATAAGAAAAACAATGAAAGAGACAAAAGAGTTTTGGCGTTGTTGTAGATTTTGGTTTGTGTACGTAACTGCATTTACTTGATGAACTGGACGATTCAAACTAGGAATAAATTCAGCATTTCCACCATATGAAAATGGTGCGATCAAAACAAAGCAACATATAATGCTTACTTTTATTCATCCATTCCCGCTAAATATTGATTCTTTAATTTGTCCCGTAGGAGTTACAGAGCAAGTTTACAATATGTATATTATTTAATTGGGCTTTTGTTTACTCATGAATCATCCTATTCGTTGCATGGTATCATGATTAGTCCTATAAATACTTTCCCTAGATATCACCAGCAATAACACAAAAAAGTCTAACTCCTCTTTCATATAATAACCTTACAGATTATTCCATAATGTCAACTAGATTCCTCACTGTATTCATCCTTGCTCATGTCTGGCTTTTGATAGCTACAACATCAATAGCCCAAGTTGTGTTAGACACAAGTGGCGACGCAGTTGAGGACGATGAGGAATACTTCATCAGGCCTGCTATCACAGGCAATGGAGGAGGACCTACATTGATCACAGGAAATGCCCCATGCCCTCTCCAAGTTGGTCTTGTCAACACTGACCTCGCAAACGGTTTGCCGGTGGTATTCAGACCTTTTGTCCGCCGTCATGATGAGGACGACGTGCTTCTTGACAGAGACTTGAAAGTTAGTTTTGTAGCTTCCTCAAGTTGCGCGCAGTCCACAGAATGGAGAGTGGGGGAGAAGGACGCTACGAGTGGAAGGAGGCTAATAGTTACCGGAAGAGATGATAGTACACCTGGATCATACGGTAACTTCTTTAGGATTGTGCCGACACAAACTATCGGTATCTATAACATCCAATGGTGCCCTGCAGAGGTATGCTCCAGTTGTAAGTTTGAATGTGGGACTGTTGGTGTTATTCGTGAGAATGGAAAGATTCTGTTGGCCTTGGATGGTGGTGCTCTCCCTGTTGTTTTCCAGAAAGAATGATTATTAGTAGGATGGTGAAGTTTATTTATGTGGTGTGTTTATGTATATACACTTGCTTTTCAATAAATATTGAACATGTAGTTCATTTTAATTAATATCGTGAAAGAACCAACGTGTTAAATGTATTCTGTCATGGAATAAAGACTCATTTGGGTATGTGTATACTTTCTTTACTAAGAATAAATAAGTTGGATTAAGTGTATTTTATTTATCCTCGTCTTGTATTGATGGTCATATTTTATATCAAACACTACAAAAATTGTTATATTTAGTGACACATTATAAATGTGTGCTTAAGATGATTCGTCATTTTCATCTTCATGTTCAACAAAAAAAAAGTTATTCTAGGGCGGAACTAGAAATTTGATGAGGTGCACGTTATCGTAGAAGCTCTGCAGTGTGGTGGCAAGAGTCTCCACCTGAAAGAGGATAAGTGTATTTCTAAGATTAAGATTCCAACATCGAAGTTAGTGAGATCGGAGAGGTGTAACTTGTAAGAATTAGCCAAAATTATATGTTACAACACATAAATTGTTGGACGAGAATACGATAATGCAAGAGTGTAGGAATGGTGAATAGACCTCCCAAATAAAATTTAAGTTTCCAAGAACAAAATGAAGAAAGATACTCTTTCATTTCCACGTGCCACCAATGCAGAAAGAAAGGAAATATAAGACGAAATTGCCCTTAAATCAAAGAAGATCCAAAAAACTACAAAAAGAAGTTAAGACAACCAACATATCTTGGGATGGAAATTGATCTGACCTGATCAGAAATGGACCGTCACGGCTGGCTCCGAGCTGAAAGCTTTTTGAACGAGGTGGGAGGGTACCTGCAAGGCACTCCGATGCTGAAGTAAGTAGAAGCACGAGCAGGCAATAATAACTGTATGGGTAGAATGATGAATACCTGACCCTCTGGAAACAGAGGGTATTTATAGCCCCCAGCGCTGGGCCAAGGTTCCTTCATTGGGCCGGGCAGGTTTGGCCCAATGGAGGAACCTTGGCCCAGCGCTGGGGGCTATAAATACCCTTTGTTTCCAGAGGGTCAGGTATTCATCATTCTACCCATACAGTTATTATTGTCTGCTCGTGCTTCTACTTACTTCAGCATTGGAGTGCCTTGCAGGTACCCCCCCACCTCGTTCAAAAAGCTTTCAGCTCGGAGCCAGCCGTGACGGTCCATTTCTGATCAGGTCAGATCAATTTCCATCCCAAGATATGTTGGTTGTCTTAACTTCTTTTTGTAGTTTTTTGGATCTTCTTTGATTTAAGGGCAGGTGGCACGTGGAGGAACTGCCAGGTTCTACGTGCGTAGTGGGGACCCGCATGTGGTCCCCTTCCTGGATGTTCTGCGTGAAGTGCGGGCGGACGAAGACGCGGCCTTTTCGAGGCCTCGTTGGGAGCGCAGTGGACTGAGTCTGCCCTAGTTGGGGTGCTCGAGGTGATGTCGAGCTGGACAGCAGGATGTCGAGCTGGAGGTGTAGAGGTCGAGCACGTGACCTCAGGGAGCACGTCGGGCACGCCTGTGACCCTTTGGTCGGCGTGGTCCTCAGCAAGTCTATTTGGATTGGGCCTTAGCAATGCTTTTGGGCCTGTCGGGCCCAGTCCAAAATAGGAGCCCCCCAAGTCGTGGTTCCTTTGTTATGAGCCATGGCTTGAACTCAGGTCGTTTCCGCTTCGGGGTCTCGCGCCCGGGATAGAGATGCAGGCCCTCGAGGGCCTCTCTGTGCCGTGCTCGGACACATCTTCCGCGGTGGATGCCCGGAGGATCCTCACCGGCGCGTGTCTGTCGAGCACACGAGGTATCTTTCGGGAACTGTGCCGCCACCCTATGATGATAGGGTCATCATTGCGTTGGGAGCAGCGCGTCGGGGAGAGAAACTCTATGGTTGCCCGAGGTGACGTTTGGTATTCCACGTCATCACTATAAATAGGAACCTTGGGCCCCATAACACGTTTCTACTCTTTGTGCTCCCACTGCTGCTGTTCTTCCAGATTTTTCCTAGCTGCGATCTTTTGTTACAGATTCTTTTACTCCGTAGCCGAATCCTACTTTTTGATTCAAGTAAGTGGTTTATCTTCTTCATTTTCCTGTTGTAATGCATGATTTTCAGCGTTTGTAGACGTTTTAGGGACTGTGCGCGTGGGACTAGCCCGGTAAACTCATACTTAGCTCGACATATTCATGCTTAGGACCGGCAAACACATGCTCGTGGCCGGTAGATTCATAGTTTTAGGTAATAATCAGCAGCGCTACCCGGGGTCTTCATGATCCAGGGCGCCTGATTCATGATCGCGCCCGGTATGTTCATGGTCCTGGCCGTAGGTCTCATGATGTTGCTCGCCATGTTCATACCTTGGGTCGACATGTTGGAGAGTGGCCGCGTAGTCGGTTTGGAGAAGAACACATCGAGTTTTCTGGATGTCGGGGAGGCGACTACTTGTGTAAACTGACTTTTGTGGTTGTGTATGGGACGACGTGGTTTGTCGAGCGTATGGCTTCGTGCCCAATTGACTGGTTTCCCGTGCTCTGCAGGTAACCATGGCGGACGAGCCGTGCTCCTCTGGGCGCCGCGAACATGAAGAACAAAGTGCCGATGAGTCGGTCAGCTTGATTGATACTGTCGACGACCCTTTGCTGGATTGGGTGGGCGCCGAGCCCCGAGGGATCGCGTCGATATATAGCCGGCGTGACCGAAATCCGTATGCTGTCCTCGAAGCGGGCCAGGGCCAGCCTGACTTCCAAAAGAATTTCGTTGTCATGCGTCCGACCTCCCGTGCACGGATCTGCTCGGTGTACCCAGAGTATAGCTTCCCGATGTACGAGATCGCGTTTAAAGATCTTGGGCTGCAGCTGCCCTTCAGTGACTTTCAGATCGGGGTCTTCACCCATCTGGAGTTGGCCCCGTCTCAGCTACATCCGAACTCACTCGCCTTTATCCGGGCGTTTGAGCTGACGTGTCGCTTTCTGAGGATTGGGGCGACCATACCTCTCTTCTTCAGGATTTTTCATCTGCAGCGCCAGTCCCGAGGAGGGAAACACAGCTGGGTCTCCTTAAAGCATTCGAGGAGACTCTTCAAAATGTATATGGACTCCGTAAGGGGTTTTAAAGACAAGTGGTACGTTGTGCGGCCAGTTACCACCTCTGCTTTGGGATCCCTGTACGAGGAGGAGGCGCCCATAAGTGATGATGACGGGGAGGCGGTTTTGGGCGACGATGGGTATCCCGTGATGGCCCGTACGGCCAAGTTCCCTGTGCACTGGATGTTCAGGCACTACGAGCACGGGACTGGATACTACCATAATGCCGCCGGGGACATGTGCTTGGAAGACGAGGAGGCGTACGCCACTCTTTGTCGGGTCGTCGACAGCTTCCACCCTTCCCGGTGGGCCACGAGGGAAGGGGACGATGTCTTGGATGCAGAGGGTTATCCGACATTTGAGTCCCTACCAATTGATACTAAGGCACTCGTGGAGTGTCAAACGTTCAGGCAGGCTGCTCGTCTGCTAGGTCGTTTATTGCTTGAATTTCTTTGCTCGTCATTTATTTATGAACTTGCTCGATACTAACCCGTCTTTTATTTTGTGCAGGTTCGATGGCCGGTCGACGGGAAAGACTTTTGAAGTTGTCTTGCGACCAGAAGCGAGGCAGGAGGGTCGTGAAGGCTCCCCAGGCGACGAGGATGGGCCCGCCACACAGTCTGAGCGCTCCTCAGGTGGTGAGGGTGGATTCGTCGCCCAGCTCGGGGGCCGCGTCGGACGGGATCCCAAAGGTTGAAGAGGTCGATCCTAATGCCGTCCTGATACAAAGGAAGAGGACCCGGGTGGAAAGCGGTCCGGCTGTCAGCGAGGACGCCAGCGTTGTCAGGTCTTTCGGGTTTCCCCCTTGTTTCAAAGAGGAGGGTTTCTTCGAGAGATTCCCTCTGTCAGTGGTTGCCGACGAGGCTGAGACTATCAAAAGGATGAGCAAGGAGGATCGGAAGAGGCATCTGGCCGCCAGCATGGACGGGCTGGTGAAAATGGCCGAGATGGCTCTGGTGTTGTCCGAGGAAGGGGGGGATCCTGTCTGTATTGAGGAACTTGAGCAGGAGAAAGCGGCTCTCACCTCGAGCTCGCGGAAGTTGAAGACTGCCCTGGAACGCTCCGAGGAGATGTTCCGCGAGCAGACATCGATGCTGGATGCTGAGAGGGAGATGTTGGTCCTGGAGAAAGAAAGGTCGGGGAAGCTGGCCGAGGAGGGGGAGCTTCTCCGCCTGGACAGGGATCGTCTGGAGACCGAAGTCGGGCGCTTGGCCCAACAGATCGAGGAAATGAACGTTGCCATGCTACCTGCCGAGGACGAGCCGGAAGACATAGCGGCTTTGAAGAGTCGATCGGAGTTGGTCGCCCATATCCGGCTACTCGAGGCAGATTGCGTCGGTGCTCTGGAGGAGGGGTTCGACTCCACAGTCGGTCAGCTTTCCTTGTTAAACCCTGGTCTGGTCACTGAGGGTACAGGCCACACACATCAGATCGTGGATGGCGTGATCGTGCCCCCGCCCGACTCTCCAGGCGTCGACAATGATGGTTTTGGGGAAGCCTGATCGTAGGATAGCGGGCCTGCGTGCCTTTGATATTTGTATTTTTTGGGCCTGCGTGCCCGTCGGTTGTACGTTATGAACATCGCCGACCTTCTTGGTCAGTTTATAATTGTTTGCTTTATCGCCTTCGGGCATTTTTATTTGAATGAATGCTGTTTTACATTTGAATGTTTTGCCTGTGCTTGAAATCTTATATATTTGCATAAAATTTTAGCCTAAGTCATGGGCCCGAGGAGTGCCCGTAAGTGGCTGTGATTTAGCGAGCGAGTCTGCCCGTCTTCCGTTTGTGTATGTGCCCAGCCCTCTTTCGCTGGCCAGAGTCACCTAAGTGTTGCGCTCGAGGGGAGATACTTCCCTTTGACCCTTTTAGATGGCCCGCCATTCTTGACGACTTGTCGGGCATGTGGAGCGAAGTTG